TACTGCGCACAATCATTATGCGCAATTGACTACTGTGCACGATTAGTATGCGCGGTTGACTACTGTGCACGATCAGTATGCGCGATCAACTACTGCGCACATAATTCAATTTCTAGATCATCTTATAACAATTCTTTAACATACATTTACTTTATACGCTCTACATTTTGTAACATTAAGGATGGAAATTAAGTAACTATGAAGGTATCAATATAAACTGAAAGAATATATTCTAAAAGTAGGACGTGTTTGATAATATTAATACCGAACGTCCATAAGAATGGATATTAAAACATCGATAACAATCTATGTATAACTCCCAATGAGGTACAAAATAAGAACATTATAAAATTATATTTACATGAAAGTTTTAATTGATAATCGAGTATCTATATTATTAAATTATTATTCAAGATGAGAAATTTAAGGACAAGTTTCTCTCCTGCGGAATACAGGAACGGTTTAATGGGTTTATGAAATTTTGAAGGATTAATTGTAGCAGTTTTAAATGGAATGCCAGAAATAAAAAGATGTTGTAAATCAAGAGAGTTGGGAGCTTTCCAGAGATTCTAACGAGCAAGTTTAGCGATAGAGTCGAGAGTCTTGAGAGCAGGGAAGAAGCTCCGAAAAAACAAGAGCTCGTATATTCAAGAGTACCTCTGCAATAAAGTATCTCGCACAAACTGGGATATACAGTTATTCAGAGGAGAATTATTTAATGATGTTTGTAACAGAGATTCTTGGATTTATTTCGGATTATGCGGACTACGTTGTATGTGCGTAAAATCTGAAAGGGCTGCGCATAAATCTGGACGTTTGAAATTGTTTGGTGTTATGAGAATTTGGAGTTTGTGGAGTTTTTGGTGGAGAGGTAGATATGGACGATTTGAGAAGTTGGAGTAGTTGGGGAATTTGCGAAATATAGGACATTTAGAAGTTTTAGGAAATTTTTGAAAAAGGAACCTTGGCAGAATTAGCAAATCTAGGAACTTTAAGAAAGTTAAGAAACGCGACAAATTTAGGGAACTTAGAAAATTTGTAAGAAATACAAGAAATTTGGGTGATTTGCGGAATTTAAGGAATTTAAGGAACTTAAGAAAGTTAGGAAATTTCAGAAATTTAGGAAATTTAAAAATTTTGTACGAAATGCAAGAAAATTGAGTAATTTAAGGAATTTAAGGAATTTCTTAATTTAAGAAATTTAAGGAATTTAGAAAGTTTAAGAAATTCTAATTAGATTCTAGTTAGATTCTAAATTCCCTAGATTCCTACTTCCTTAGATTCTGAACTTCCTAGATTCCTAATTACTTAGATTTTAAATTATCTAGATTTCTACTTCTCTACATTCTAAATTACCTAGATCTCTCATTCCTTAGATTCTGAATTTCACAAATTCTAAATTCTCTAGATTCCTCGTTCCCTAGATATTAAATTCCCTAGATTCTTAATTCTGTAGATTCTGAATTCCTTAGATTTCTCATTCCTTAGATTCTAAATTCCCTAAATATCTAATTCTCTAAATTTTGAATTCCCTAGATTCCTAATTTCATATATTCTAAATTCCCTAGATTCTGAATTCCCTAGACTCCCAATTCCTTACATTCCTAATTCCCTAGATTCCTAATTCCTTAGGTTCAGTATTCCCTATATCCCTGGACACCTTAAACTATCTAATTCCCCAGATCTCTAATTTCCCCTGTACCCATTCTCATATAATACTCTCAAATTTATCGAAACGCAAATCCTAATTTGCCAAATAAATTCCCTAGATTTTCTAATTCCACATATCCTCATTCCAAGTATTCTCACATCCCCAAACTTCAGTACCCTTTCTCCCAAAATCTGAATTTCTCTCATTTCCCTAAAATATTTGAAAACATATCGGAACGCGAGCCCCTAAACATTCCGTAACAAGAAAAAACAGACTTGGCCCGCATTCAAAATAAACGGCCGCTACGTTCTAATCGAAATAAAGCGCAAGTACGTTGCACCTGGCAGTGTATCCATGCAAAGTAAGCTTAAAGGCGGTAACAGCAGATCGAAAGCAAGACTGAAAAGCGTGGAAAGATATTACTCTCTCTTGCACCGTTTCACGCAATCTTCATGGCCGGGTTGTTGATGCACGTATCCCATACGTTTGCGTGCCTCGCTGTTCACTCTTTGGATTTGCGCACGAACACTAAAGCAACCTGCATATGTTAGTCCGTCGGCCCTTCTGCTACCAGCTAGAAGGGATTTCCAGCGAACAATATCTCGACCGATATATATTCACGCTTCTGAGAGGTCGAATAACGAGACAGACGTATCTGAGAGATTTGTATCGTCCTCAATTCCGCGTGTACTATCGTGGGACGCTCTGTGCGATGGATAAAGGTGTGTATACACTGAACCCACGTACAACGCGGAGAATACGTTTTGTGTTACCGTCCTGTCCTGCTATATGGCGCGCTTTTATATGGCCTCGTTCGCGGATCTACCCTTCATACAGACTTTCAGCCATACGATACTGATTTCATCTTAATCTACGGGATAAGGGGCTTTAGCAATTTTAACTTTGTAATTTTCGCGACTCACGATTTATTCGCTTTCGGGGGATATCTTTAGATTTATTTGCGTGGTTACGAATTTACGAGCACGGAATTTGTGGACTTGAAGGTTGTGAATTAATAACGGAGGAAGTTTGTTGCTTTATACGTTTTGAAGGGAATTACGTTGATGCGAATTTAGACATTTTCAATCTTTAAGTACGGTTTATGTGAAATTAAATATTATTTTCGAGTTTTTTAATTTTGTCATTTTTATGTTTAAATATTTTCAGGTTTGAGAGTTTCGTAATTTGTGTACTACAAATTTCAAGTCAGAATTGTCAGTATATTTCATTTTCTCATTTTGTAAATTTTGGAATTCTTAAATTTTGAAACTGAAATTCCTCAAATTTTCTAAATTTTTTTAAGTTTCTTAAGTTTCTTAAATTTCTTAAGTCTTTTAAGTTTCTTAAATTTCTTCAATTTCTCAAGTTTCTTAAATTTCTTCAATTTCTTAAAATTCTTAAATTTCTTAAGTCTCTTAAGTTTCTTAAGTTTCTTAAGTTTCTTAAAATTATAAAATTTCCTAAATTTTCTAAATTTGTTAAGTTTCTTAAATTTCTTCAATTTCTTCAATTTCTTCAATTTCTTCAATTTCTTAAGTTTCTTAAAATTATTAAATTTCCTAAATTTTCTAAAGTTAAATTTGTTAAATTTGTTAAATTTCTTAAATTTCTTAAGTTTCTTAAAATTATTAAATTTCCTAAGTTTTCTAAATTTGTTAAGTTTCCTATACAAGTTTAGCTAGAAATCTAGGGAATTTAGAATCTTTGGAATTTGTAATGTGAAGAACTAGAAATCTAGGGAATTTAGAATCTGGGAAATTTAGAATGCGAAGAACTAAGAATCTAGGAAATTTTTGATCTAAGGATTTAGGAATCCAGGAAATTTAAAAAATGAAGAATTAGAAATCTAGGGAATTGCCATAAGAAATTAGAGTTAGGAATTTCTATAAATCTTGAAATATTATACAATAAAAATAGGGACATACGAAATTAGAGATCCAAAAAATTAGACAAACTAAAAAATGTAAAAATCTGAAAATGTAAGTGTGAAAAAGTACCCCCGAAAATTTGCCAATCCAAAAATCCGAAGATCGTAAAACTCGTACTTGCTAACTACCAAAATGGGCGAGAGAAGTTATCCGAGCGTGGTTCGTACCTAGTTACGTGAGTATAACTCGAAACCCATAAAACCATCATAAACTTCTGCGACGACCTAATATCCGAGATTCTAAAAAGAAAAGCGTACATAAAACCGATGCTTATTACACGCTCCGTCCGTCCTGGTATCGCTCAAACGTCTGTGTTTCTATGATGCTCGAACATTTTTCTATTTACGGTAATATTTCGAAAGACGAAGAAAGGTAAGCCTTCGCGGGAAGACTTTATCCGATATACGGCAACAGCATCAGGTTTATTGGTCCTGATGCAGGTAGCTGGCTGGTAGAAAGTGATGACAGTAACGCCGGCATTCTGCTTCCTCTTTTTTTATGACTTTCTCCGTTTAGTTTATCTGTGCTCCAACCTACCCGGCTCGTCGTCATGGACTTATGGCGCCCATAAAGCCCTACCCCCGCGCTTTTCAGGAGTTCGTTTCGTAACTTTCATCTCCGTATTTATATGCTATGGTAATTCCGAAAATTTTCAGTGAAAACGCGATAATACAGGCATACGGTAGAAAATACTTATTGGCCAACTGTAAACGGGTTATACAGGGTGTTCCAAAATTGTGGCGCAGAAAGGGATGAATTTACTTCAAACAAATTTTTTCACGTAACTTCATTTTTTTTTTAAATTTTAAACAGTTTCCAAAGATGTATACAAATATTTTGTTTGCGGTATATAAAATGATACATGCAAGTATTGATACGCTACATAAATTATAGAGGTTAAGGCAATCTAACCTAACCTTGTCAATAGGAATAGTTAATGTATTGATTAAATTGTAGAGGTTATGGTCAATTGGTGACAGTTCGAGGTTAAGGTAACCTAACCTAACGTTGTCACTAGGTTATAGTTAATGTATTAAATAAATTATAGAGGTTATGGCCAATTGGTGACAGTTCGAGGTTAAGGTAACCTAACCTAATCTTGCTACTAGGTGCAGTTAATATGTTGTATAAATTATAGAGGTTAAGGTAACCTAACCTAACCTTGTTACTAGGAATAGTTAATGTATCGAATAAATTGTAGAGGTTATGGTCAATTGGTGACAGTTCGAGGTTAAGGTAACCTAATCTAATCTTGTTACTAGGTACAGTTAATATGTTGTATAAATTGTAGACGTTAAGGTAGCCTAACTTCACCTTGTTAATAGGAATAGTTAATGTATTGAATAAATTGTAGAGGTTATGGTCAATTGCTGACAATTCGAGGAAACTTTGCTGGGGAATTTTGTGTCATTGTGACTCACCCACCATTGAGTACGTGGACTAGGATACTGGCTGACTCGGCCGTAGATGGAGCACATGTGTAATTTCCAGAATCAGCAGGTAACGCTCTTGATATCAAGAGATGCGACGTTCGCGTTTGCTTTTCGGTGACTACGCTGATGCCTCCTCTCTGACTATAATTTATCACGTGATCACCCTTGTACCTATAACAGTAAGAGGGAAACGTTAATTTAACCCTTTGTACTCGAAAGATACATTCATCGTAATAGGACAATTTGAAATGGGTATTTTTTAATAAGTTATATGTGTTTACATGTACGTATACGTGTTTATAGTTATGTGTGATGTATGAATATAATGAAATAGCAGTGGTAACAATAGTAAAGAAATATCTGCAAAGGATTGAATAAAACTTTTCAATGTTTTTACGAATTCCTTTTTCATAATGAAACAGGCGATTAACAGTAAAAAATAACATCAAAAGTTTTAATGAAACTTTTCAGTCCTTTCACAAATTCCTTTTCCACGATGAAACAGGCAGTGGTAATTAATAGTAGAAAAATAACTTCAAAAGATTTAATCAAACTTTTCAAAGCTTTTTCAAAGGTCTAAAAGTTACCATTTGCCAGCAGCAAGAATTATAGAATTTAAAATATGAAGGTGTTAAATTTTCAAACGTTGCCATTTTTAGTGCTTGTTATATAAAGAATTAGGTGCAGCGACTATGATACACAAAATGGCCGCGTGAAACAACATGGATGACTATGTTACGTTACGTCGCAGCCATGTTTATGTTCACATGTTTTCTGTAAAATTAAAAGGCCTGTTCAAATTGTAATTATATAATTTATTAGCTACCATGATACTGCTGTACATAACATTAACACATGTTAATATCTTGTATTTCCTTTGCATTGGTCACAGTTTGTGGCATGCTGCGTATACATTGATCATATGCTTTATATCTTCATTATTTTCCCAAATATAATTCTTCTCAACTCAATGTGGTTAGAGAGTTGTAAACTAGTCTTTTAGGCTCCAGATTTTCTATGGCATTCACCAAATTTTACCTGACGCGCTATCGATACTCGAGCCTAACGTAAACGCATGGCCCTTAATCACTCATCACACAATTATCACGATAATAACAAATTACTATGTATATATTGTTATCAACGTATTTAGTAATAATTTTGACCTACGACAATTTTCCGTATGTGAAATAATGTTATAGTCATGAAGGTGAAATTTTCGTATGTGATCCTAATTCGATCTGGTGTCTGTATTTTGATTGATGTGATGCAGTACTAAAATATGTAGACACAACTTATAATTAATATATACCTTTTCTATTTATATTGTTATTAAAGTAACAAGCTTTTAGTCTATTTCATTATTGATATTTAACTTAACTAAAATCTAAATTTACCAAAATGTCAGTCATTTTGACTGTTGAGATCACCTAACCTACCATAAATCCCAAAAAGCCATCCTGACTTGTGTAGCACTTTTATCACTAAAATATATAAAAACACAGTTACGATTTATATATTCCTTTTGTACTTATATTGCCCCTAAAATAGCAAGCTTTCACAATATTTCATTACCGATATTTGATACCACCTACCCTAACATAAATCCCAAAACGCCGTCTTGACTCATGTGGCACCTTTAGTACTAAAATATATAAAAATACAACTTATAATTAATATATACCCCCTGTATTTATATTGTCAAAATAGCAAGCTTTCATAATATCTTATTACCGATATTTGATAACCTAACCTAACATAAATCCCAAAACTATAAATTTTCCAATAAATTCGTCTGGTCCAAACGATCGAAGGTTGAGCCAAAGGGTGTAACGGGAAGAAAGGGATCAATTTCAGCAAAGCAAATGATTTTGCTGTATGCCAATCAGGAACCGTAGCTCGGGTTCGTTTATGGCGTGTAATCGAGACCTTGGGAAAATCGTTCCCGATGATCTATAGAGAAGTTCATCGGTCGAAGTTTGTTCGTGTCGCGACGCGAATTCGGCGTTTATGTTCGAACCTAAATTGAATTTCAGAAAGTCCAATTAAACTTACCAATAAATGAAGGACGGCGGCTCGGGTGTTTGCAGTACGATGCAGGTCAGATTGATGTCGCTTCCGCTTTTGATGTACAGCTCTGAATTACCGTTAATCTTCGCCTTTGACACTGCGAACATAATAGATCCGTCATTAAATCAATGGGGTTTCTGTGTGGAACAGCTCTCGGAGTAACGGTAATTAAAATAATAATCATTTCGTGGATGACGGATTAGGACCTGCGAATTGATTTATGGGTTCGAAATGTTTTATATAATGTTGTTGTTTTATGTAATATAGTGTTGGTTCGTGGAAATTTGGGAATTTGGATTTGGCAAGTTTCATGTGTGGGGGTTTGGAAATTTTTAAATTTCGGGATTTGGATACTGGGGAATTTTTAGATTTTAATTGTGGGGAATTTGGGGAACTTGGTGATTTGATTTGTGGAAATTTGGGAAGTTGGAGATTTTAATATTTACGGATTTGGAAATTTCAGGATTAGGATATTGGGGAATTTGGAAATTTTAATATTTACAGATTTGGAAATTTCAGGATTCGGATATTGGGGAATTTTTAGATTCTAGTAATGGGGAATTTGGGGATTTGAGGATTGGGGGATCTTGGGGATTTGATTTGTAGAAATTTGGGAAGTTGGAGATTTTAATATTTACAAATTTTGGGATTTGGATATTGGGGAATTTTTTGACTTTAATGATGGGGAATTTGAGGATTTGAGGATTTGATTTGTAGAAATTTGAGAATTCAGAGATTTTAATATTTACAGATTAGAAAATTTCGTTATTTGGATATTGGTGAATTTCGCGATTTGGATCTAGGGAAATTTTGAGATTTGAATACTGGGGAATTTGGATCTAGGGGAACTTCAAGGTGTAGAGACTATATTTGAGTACTTGAAGATATAAAAATTTCTAAATTTAAGTGATTTGAATATTTGAGAGTTTAGGGATTTGGGAAATTTGAAAATTTGGAATTTGGGAAATTTGAAAATTTGGGATTTAGGAAATTAGAAAATTTGAAAACTTGAAATTTGGTCTTTGGAAAATTTGGAAATTGGGAAATTGGAAAATTGGAAAAATGTGAAAAATTGGAATTTGAAAAGTTGGAAAATTTGAAATTTGGGCTTTGGAAAATTGGAAAATTTGGAAATTTGGAATTTGAAAAATTTGGAAAATTTGGAAATTTGAAAATTTGAAAATTTGAAATTTGGGAATTTGGAAATTGGAAATCAATACAAAGTGTAACTCTCTAAATCAATGTTAAATAATGTAAACTATTATAAATCAGTGTAATTTAGTGGAAATTCCTGTAAATGATTGAAAACGACTACAAATTGGTTGAAATTACTGTAATATTGCGAAAATCAGTGTAAAGTAATATAAATTAATATAAAGTGACATAAACTAGTGAAAATTGCTATAAATTACTGGAAATTACTATAAATTGGTGTAAATTAATGTAACTCTGTGGAAATCAGTGCGAAGTATTGTAAATTAATATAAAATGGTGTAAACTAGTGGAAACTCTAAATCACTGGAAATTAATATAAATTGATGTAAATTACTGTAACCTCGCGTAAATTAGTGCGAAGTACAAACAATGGCGAAAACTAGTATAAATTGCTGTAAATGAATATAAATCGTTGTAAATTAATGTAACTGTATAAATCACTGTTACGCAAACATGTAATACAAATTAAAGTAAATTGCTGTAAATTACTACAAATATTGCAAACTAATGAATATTAAATGTTCATTAATAATATTAATGAATATTAAAGTCTGAATCATCTCCAAAGCACCTAATTACTCCACACCCAAAATAACATCAATGTCAAAAAGTTTTCCATCGCGTTAAAATTGCGATGCATATCGCAGTAAATGTCGGAGAGCAAAATAGAACGAACATTAAATAACATTTTCATCAGATACGAACCTACAACGCTCAAGTTAAAAGACTGACTAATTTTCGGCTCAGTTGAGACCTGACACTCGTACGTTCCGCTATCTCGAACTTGTGGTGAACTAATCTTCAGGGTCCATTCGTCACTTCCGTCGCTGTGCAACGACACAAAGCGTTGGTCGTTGGTGTACGTTAAGATTCCCACGGTGAGAATGTGCAAATCCCGTTTCCTGATCCACGACACCTGTAAAAAGAACCAAGGAAATCTTCGCATCAATTCGGGAACCGACGAAAAATTTCTCTACGTGACGTACAAGATAAAGTCATTTTATCTACGACCGCATTGTTCATATTCAACGGCTGTTGTGCATATACATATAAATCTCAATATGTATGAGAAAAGCTGAACTTTCATGAAATTTTCGGTAAACGTGATGTAGAAGCGTTAATAACTAATACATATAAACGTTAATAACTAAGACATATAAACGTTAATAAATAAGACATGAGCAAATCGGTGAAAATTTTTAGGTTGACTTAATTGTGAGGAAATGCACATGAAGACGATTTTTTAAACGTGTAAATAAATACTACGAATTTATGGATGAATAAAGCGAAATTCGGAGCTTTACGATAAAAGTTAATCTTCAATATCATTTATTTAAATTATCAAGAGATAACAATATATTTTATAAAATATTCAAGTATTTTTATGATCATGTACCATAAACTTAATCGATGTCATTATGGTTAATACAATCGATTTAGATCGCTGCAATTCTGTTACAGTCTAAAGGATCATAAAATCATTATCTTATGAGAGCATAAAATCATTATCTTATAACATCACATAAATCTGAGTTCAATTTTACATCGCATCACGCAGGAACTGAATATTTTTTTCATGAAATTTTGCTCGGAGATCTGAATCTGTAGATTTGGGACAGGTTTTGTGGCGATCAAAATTGAAGTACTACAAAACCTTAACTACAATTTCACGCGCATCTTGGCGGCAAAAATGGCGTCACCGTATCACGTCACTATGTCATACGAGTTGAACATTCTCTGTCACGACAAACGCACAAAGAATATAGTTTATCAAAGAGCTCTGCGATGGTTACAAGTTATTCAGCGAGCCAGACTTCAAGAATTAATTGCCGGTGAAATTTCACCGCTCCTATTCTAATTTGGACAACAGTTTTTTTAATATTCCAATCATTACAAAAGTAAATCTGATTATTGATATTATCTCTTCTTCAAAAATAAAACACGCGAATTTCATGAATATCTTATTCTCTTATTGAATCTTGCTGGCGATATTTATTTTTAACCCTGCGAAGAGGGTAGACGGGCTAGTTTATTAATAAAATGAAACGAACTAATGAAGACGTGGTCTCTATTTGATATTTTCGCTTTAGCTAAGTTAATGAGAGCTTCCGGGGAAGATATTTTGTTAAAATATAGCAATCTAAATTTAAATATTGGCGCCAACTAGCGAAAGCGTGAGGCTTGTGAAGGCACCACTGTTTTACCGCGCGATCGTAAAAGGTTAACTTCCGGAAAACGTGTTACTCTTCGTTGTAAAAGCGGCGTATATGTAGCACGGCGAATTATTATTAAGAAGAATATTACTATTATTATTACAAAAGTCTAAATGTATCATTAAATCATAATTAACAAATTACAGAATATTTTATAGTATTTGAAGCGTGTAAAATTATTTTGCTTCGTCTGCAACATACTTGGTATAATTTTAAATAACCAAGTCATAAATATTTGTGTAAACATAAAGCATTTGTAATAAATAACATTTAAGAATAATATAAATGTCTTAAGGAATAGTATCATAGTTTTAAATATTAAAACCGAATATTCGTAAAATTGTTATATGAAGAGGTAAAAAGATTAGTGTTAAAAATCCCATATTATTGAAAAATATTAATAAATAATTCAGAAAATATTAATTAATATTTGACATATGACAATTATATTTGTTAAGTAAAAATTTTATTATTTTATGTAATGAATAGATTTGTTGACACTCATTTACTAAACTTAAATATGGTCTAAATATAGTGAAGAATGAAAAGGGGATGAATTTCTTAAAGTGGCTACCTTAAAAAATTACCTGTAACAATGCTTATATTTTAAAATTAATGATCTAAATTTGGAACAAGAAATTACGATCAGTACTTCTCATAAAATAGAAAATAAATATATGAAACTGATTTTAACATAAAAAATGTCAGAGATCGTATAAAACCATACGATCTTCCACTCCATTTCTATTTTCGCTAAAAAAAAACAATCCCCAGTTCTCCCACACAAAAAAGACCAGGAAATGAGTAGTAGTAAAATTTCACGCGATACTAAATTATGTTAAAAAAGCAGCGTATCATCGATAATAAATCCCTATAATCTTTCACTGTTACGCTCGAATAATTCTACAAAAACGAACTCAATATTTATTGGATAAAACGGAACGGAACAGAGGTAGAATTTATGTTTCTGCGCTTTGGTAAATCCGGTCTGAAATTATCGAGAAAATCTTCCCTCTATCCGATGCAGCCTGTCCCTCGAAATTCGTATTACGTTCGAAAAAAAAAAAAAATATCTTCGCTTTTTTCGCCCCCGTTTCGACGAAGCTCTCGACGCGAAAACATTTAACCGATCCGCAATAATCTTGGTACACGGATATCGTTTTCTATCGGACTCAATTACTCGGGACTTGTGCGTTGAACCAGTAATTTTTCGTAGGGGGAAAAAAAACTGTCACGGTTCAATTTAACTTTCGGTCAGATATAATTAGAACAGCGGCACGCTGGAAGCCTGGAAAATGGATGGCTTATCGGCGAAACGTTTATCCCCCGTGTTGAACGGTGTTGAGAACGGAGAATTGATAACTGCAAAATGTCCTCGCAGAAAATTAATCGTTGTAAGTCGTACGTAACTTGGGTATTACGTGGATACTGGGCGGAATACAATGGCGGGAAACCGCCGGAACGGTCTGCGTTTGTTGCATTGATGCTTTATTAACGTTGTTATTGTTCGATTGGGTTTTATTGTGCTTGCTTTTGTGGGATAAGGAGACGGATTTTGGAAAGGGGAGGTTTGGTAAGGTTGATGTCTTTATGTAAGTTTGGGGGTGGAAGAATTTGAAGGTATGAAGGTTTAAGAATTCGAAAATTTGATGATTTGATGATTTGACGATACAGTAATTTGGTGATTTGACAATTTGACAATTTAACAATTTGACAATTTGTCGATTTCATAGTTTGACAATTTTACAATTTGATGATTTGACTATTTTACAATTTGATGGCTTGACGATTTGACTATTGAATGATTTAACAATTTCACGATTTCATAATGTGACAATTTTACAATTTAACAAATTGATGATTTAACGATTTAACGATTTGACGATATGACATTTTGACAATTTTACAATTTTGCAATTTTACAATTTTGCAATTTTACAATTTTACAATTTGACAATTTGACAATTTGACAATTTGACAATTTGACAATGTGACGATTTGACATTTTGACAATTTGTCGATTTCTTAATTTGATAAGCTGATTATTTGACAATTTGACAATTTAACAATTTGACAATTTGACGATTTGACAATTTCCAAATTTAAGATCTTCAAAATTTTGAATACTCAAGCTTCCTAACCTTAAACTTGAAAATCATCTAATTTCCAAACTATCAATTAGACAAATTTCTAAATTATCCATTCAAATTAAAAACCTACAAATTCTTAGGTAGTACAATAATATTGTACTGTAAGATTCAACTTTAACCTCATTTTACAATAACTCAAGCAAACAAGGAATAACTTTTGTTAAAGTTGTCATTAATTAATGTCACATAATTTTTTAAATAGCAACGACCTTTTAGATTTATTAAATAATAGACCATTAAAATTAATTGTACTTGGCTAACAGCTGGGCATCCTTACTTTACGGAACGTAATTAAAATTTCCTGTCTGAATTCGATTCTTTCATTTCTTTTGATTTTCAAGATTGCATTTTACAAACAAGTACGTAATTAACTGAGTGGGAATTTTGTTGATATTTCTGTTTATTTTTTCGTACTTTGGAAGTCAACGTTTTTAACTTCATTTCACAATAACTTAAGCAAACTAGGGATTACTTTAAAGTTATCATTAATTTGTGTTACATAATTTTTTAAATAGTAACGTTCTTTTAGATTTATTAAATAATAGATCATTAAAATTAATTGTTCTTATTAATTTTGTTTAAACTCTGAAATCAAGCATTGGGTTTCGGCACTAGTAGGTAACATGATACCCAGCAGAGGTTGAACGCTATAGGCGCCATTTTACGCGAGACCGAATTATTAAAGAAACCAACCCCAATATATAACATTAATACTTATATTGTAATAAGTATATTTTGTATTCCACACATTTATGTTAATAATAATCATACAAAAATATTCTGTCTATTTTCAAACCCGTCGTAACATCAACATAACCTAACATTATATAATACACTTTCAATCATTTTTCTTGCATTATAAAGCCGCACAAATTCTTCGGACGAAGGAAAAGACAAAGAAAGAAGATTACAAAAAGATCTTGTGCAGCAGTAAAAGCTTTTAGAACAGACACTTTGTTACAAGTTGCCAGTGCAAAGTTTCACGAGCCAAAATTAATTCAGGAGAAATCCATTGTGATTGATTAAATTGAATTTATTATAAATCAAACATTTTCATTCCTCAAAACATCTTGACTTTTTCAATGATATGATGAAAATAATTAAATGCATACATATTTAACATTCGGAGCAGCAATAATTAATGACTGAGACATGCTACGAATATTGCTGAATTACTGCGGCATACGAATATTTCCAGATTTTAATTAATTTATAACCGTTTCTTTCACAAATATAAATTCATATTATTTTCTGCGAAAGTAGAAATTTCATCCGTTCGTATTTAATTATAATTTTGTATTTTCTATATGTAAAATAAATTACTAATTGCTTCTTTAATTGTTTACCTTATAATTTAAAAATTCTGAAACTCAGTTCTAATAAATTTCAAATTCAATTAATGTAAATATGTGAATCAGTTTATTTCCTCTATCGTCATATCATTCAATTTACTAGTTGATAATAATTGGTAAGAATGAAAAATAAAAATATTTTTATTTTTCGTTAAATTCCACTGGTTATTGATTAGGTTATTATTAGAGATTGGTAGTTCGAATTTAATCTACCTAACACAGGTAAAAGCAGTCTAGGACAACGTTAAATAACATCAATATTATATCACTTGCGGGAAACAGTAATTAGTAAATTTTGATTGAAAAATGTATTGAAACGTATCCGGAGAAATTGCAATTATAACTCGTTTTCAATGCGGCCTTCACCGCGTTGTTTAAGCCACGAAAATTTTTCAAATCAATCCTCCCGGACACAAGAGCTCGTATAAATGAATTTCATCCATCAGTTTCATCGATTACCTACTAATTTTTCGACACTTTTATTACAGGATGTTCGATTCGAAAAACCTATCAATAATTGTTTCGCCGCCCAAATTATTCCCGATATTTCCAACATCATTGGTTTATTTTTTTTTTATTTCGTTTTCAATGAACCGTACGTGCACGGGTTCCGCAGTTTCGGGCGAAAATTATTGAGAACAACGAATAAAAGGATCACGGATAAACTTGAATTATTCGTTGTTCGTGAATAACAAATATATTAATTAATTTTATACGTGCATTACGGATAAATGGAAATTATTCGGTATCTTTTAATTGCGCGTTCTTTGACATTTTTATGTAAGAGATAAATGAGTTTCGATTTAAAGACTGTTTTATATTGGGTGATATATCGAATCTGTATAAATATTTGAATATTCGAATGTTCTAATTAAAATTTAGAAATGAATATTTAAATAAAAATTTTGATTTTGACTTACTGAAGTTTAAAACTTCAAATCTTTAGAAAATAACATATGCATTATTTTGCACGTATAGTTAGGTTAATTTAAGGAGAAAGTATAACAAAAAAATTCGATTCAATTCTGAGCACATAAAAGTCAAAATTCAATATAAATTATGTTAACAGTTTACAGAATTTAATATTATTCAAGTAATATGTACCTAAACATATATTTAAACTAACAGAACAAGTTTTTACTGAACCAGAAAATCAATATTTCAGTGGAAGAATTTTAACTCTTCTAATAACATAATGCGACCACCAACTTAATACTTCACCGATGAGTCTATAAAATTAACACAACCGTTAAGTGTATCAAGTGTCATCGATTCGCGAAGAAGAAGAAATAGATTCCCCTCAATTCGTGGAAAAATACAGGGAAGTTTCAGATTAAAACGAGAAGTTAAATAGTTTATTATTCAAATGAAAATTAATGAAATTTCCACTCGATTTCTAATAATATAAAATAAAACTCCAAATAAGAATTTTTATGGGCAAAGTCGCCTAATATGAAACCTCATATGAATTATTTGAAAACTCATAACACTTTCATTAAATGAAAGAATTAAATGCAAAATGAATTAGACTTACTAAAAATAAGGTATGCAATCTTTTAGTAGAAATACAAGATTTCACTATCAAGTAAAGATAAAAATAATACAAATGCACGTTTGAGAGCCCGATGATATTCAGTGTATAAAATTAACTTAAGTGTATAAAGCGTCATCGGTCCGCAAAGATGAAGAATTACATTTCGATTCGTGGAAAAATACAGGGAAGTTTCAGATTAACTTGTTCACCCGACTCGTAGTAGCAATTTCCACGGCCGCCATGTTTGGAAACAATAACGTTACAACTGTCGAGTAGCTTCAAGGTTGAATCTTCGTTATTTAACGATGTACAACTAGTAAGTCAAACTCCGTTGCATGCACTGTGTAACAGTATTCATGAAAATGATAATACACTCAGCATCGTTGAGGTATTTATAATTTAATCGAACCGCTTCAAAAACTTCCTGCGACGTATTTCACAAATATGCGATTGCTCAGGTTTAATCGATTTCGAAGCCAATGTGCGAATGAAACACGTGCACAGTTAGTTACGAAAAGAAAACTGCGACTTTTAAAAGCTTAGTAATGGTAAGTTGAAATCGCATGTTAGGAGAGGTCTTCGTTTTAGGCAGGTTTACCATAACCTTCAAAATTTCTGTAATAGTTTATTCTTGAGAAAAAGGAAAAAGTAAATGCAGTTTAGTAAACCTTGAATCGCAAATCGAGTCATACCTTTTGAAGCCTTAGTGTTAAGTTGATATCGCATATTAGGAGACGTTTTCGCATTAGGCAAGTTTGCACCATAACCTTCAAAATGGTTCCTGTAATAGTTTAAACTCGTGACAAAAGTAAATAAAGACAATTTAGTAAACTTTGAATCGTAAATGAAGCTATCCCTTTTGAAGCCGTAGTATTAAGTTAAGATCGCATATTAAGAGAGGTTTCCATATTAGTCAAGTTTATCATAACCTTCAAAATGGTTCCCGTAATAGTTTAGACTTGCGACAAAAGAAGAAGTAGGTGAATACAGTTTAGTAAGCTTGGTATCGTAAATGAAGCTGTCCCTTTTGAAACCTTAGCATCAAGCTGAGATCCTATATTAAAAGAGGTTTGATCAGGCAAGTATAGTCCGTAACATAACCTCACAAATTGCAATATTCCCAATGTCTAATCTAAGCTATGATACTACAAATAAATACAAGAATACAAAAAACAATACAAGAATATAAGAAAATATGTAACAGTACAATAAATACTTATTTATAAATAAATATTATTAATCTATACATTTATTTATAATAGCACAATGCAGCGAATTCTCAAGTAACGAACGAAACATCTCCATACCGAAGATAAGATCCTCAAAGGAGGTCTTAAACTTCCGAAACGATTAATCATTTATTCGTTACTCTGCATGGAAGTTTTACTCGAATAATTCCCAGCGCTATCCCATACGAAACAATGAATGGCAGAGAAGCTGTTGTATAGAACGACAATGGCACCGAGTGTTGCCAGGTTGATTTTACGCCGCGAATATAAACGCCTGGGTTCGCGTAGATAGAGAGCCGAGCATGATGCATACTGGCTCAAGTGGGGACGAGGCGAAGGGAAATCTGATTTATCGTCGATTACGATCGGTGATTGGATTCTGACGGGTTCCTATGCGTCATGCGGTGATGCATGAGTAACGCCGATAACGAGTAATGTCACTACTCGACGGTGACCCGTGCACTTATCCGCAAAAGTACCTTCCATTAAGATGGCCCTGGATAGCAGCCCTTGTCTCGGGGATTTATGAGCAATTTACTCGTACAATATGCTCCCAAACAATTTCAAGTATTATTCTGTCTTAACACCTTGACCTGAATATCCTGTCACGCTTCGTACGTGACAACTACTGCAAATCTCATTAATTCGTATTTTTATCCTGGTTAGCTATAATTATACTGGATAAGATAAAAGGGACACCTCTCTAGCTAAATTCAAATATCACGTATATGACTGTGGACCTCTTTTTTTGACCACCTTGTACAATTCAACGACTATAGCCTAATCATGTAGGCCACTTTATTTGTCTTAATAATGTAGCAATGATCAACCTGTGGATGATCAGTTAGATAGAGTCTGACATGCCCAACTTAACTTAAAGGCTACGACAGGTCAGAGGGTTAGTGAAAGTTGATATATTCTCAAATAGAATGACCACATATTTCACATACGTGAAATGTGCATTTTTCATGTTTGCTTAGCTTGTGCGATTTTGTGTCACATTTCTCAGCAAGAATGAAAAAGTATTGTTAAAATGTTTGACAATGAAGTGGTTAATTCTAGCGTTATAATTATACTGTCACATCATAGTTACTGATAGTATAATAATATGACTGTAAGCATACCACAATATTCATCAGAACCAAAGTGTCTTTAATTTGTAGCTGCAATAAAAACGTGGTTAGAGTAACAAAACCCATTAAGGTGGAAACATGTCCTCTATCGTTGGGAAGGATTGGAATCAGGTGTCCGGGAATCGCGGGCGAAATTGGCAGGAAATCCAGGATCGATGGGTAAAAGTCAGAATGAAAAGGGTAGGTGGACAGAGTGCGACAACCAGACCGTTTCATCAGCCAGCTACTCATCCGTGAAACGCGATTTCTTTCGCGTTCTTATTACACCAGAAACGGAAGGTCATGCCAATAAGGAAACTCGAAACTTACAGCACGATCGCCAAGATTGCGCACCCTGCAGTGCAGGTAAGCGGATTGGCCGACGGTCGTCGTGGTCTCCCTTTTGGTCGTGTTGTCGAAGTAAGGCTGGCTAAAGGGTTGCTCCCAGTAAGAAGACGGATGGTGCTCCACCGATATTCCGCCGCTTTTCGCTGCACACTCTGTTAAAACCAATAAACACCGTTAAGAGGATTTTTAATACAGTGTTAAGGTGCCGGCATTATTTTGACTACGTAATTCTGTTATCCGGATGAATGGAAATGAACGGATCGGGGACACCAAATATTTTCTAACAATTTGCTGTCTTACTTAAACATCCTTACGAGACGTTGTTCGAGTCTTGTTTGAACAAGACTTCGTTGTAGCGATTAGGCAAATGTTTCAATGCAAGAGTGTGAGAGTACCTTTAATATCTGGTAAAACATTTAAATGGACGATCACGAAGTGTGCTGTTCATAATAATTGAGTTAGTGAATAAATCAGTAAGTGAAAGTGAATATTTCTGGCAAAAACAGGATTTATTAAAGCTGAAATATAAATCTCTCGGGTCTGAATATCAGTTTATAATTCGATCGCTGAATATAGAAAGTGAAGATTGAATAACCGTAAACGGAGAAGTATCACTGTGATGATTTCTAGCGCAAGGATAAAAATGAAATTTTTTGTTACGAAACTTTCACCAATATTTCTGACATTTCTGATAAAAGTGAAACACGTAATTTATATTTACTTGTAATTCCGAGCGTATCGATTATATCGAAAATTTGCTTTAAGTTATTAGAAGTAAATATGAATTACGTCATGTTTGATCTTACTTTGATCAGGAAAGTGTCATAAAATGTTGGAAAAAATTGAATACAAAGGACTGAAGATAAAAGAGCGTTGACACTGTAAACGATACAGTTTTGATCGCTGACTGGCACGGTCAACGATCGGCGCATTTCTCCGCGTTTTAAAAGTATAATCATCAATTAAAGCAGTAAATATTGTTCAAGTTATATCGTGTTTGGTGTCGTTTTAATCGGAAAAATGTCACAAATTTATTGGTAAAAGTTTAATAACGGGAAAATAAGAAATAAAAGAGTTTTATATTTGTGTTGTTATTGTTTCGTTTACCCGAACTCTCACGTGACACTTCGGCAAACATGGCGTCCCGAGTCATGATCTGCGCTTTCGTTGGGAAATCAACAATATTATTTAAATACGCAAACTTGTTTACATTCGTAAAATGTGGTATAAATTTTGTAAAAGAAAATTTACATATTAATGTAAATATTAAATTATGGGAACGTAATTCGTATTTTTCTAAAACATATTAAAACGGATATTGTTTAAACAATTGATGTACTTATAACACATCTGAAAGTTGGTTTATATAGATTTACGTAATTTACAGTTACGTAGGAAAATATTTAATACAAATACTTTTTATATAATTTATTCCCTACAAATATTTAAACAGTATCGGCCATGATTTTCAGTTGAAGCTCGGATTAATAAAAACAAAATACATTAATTCAACGCAGTATCGGCGCTACTTGTTTTTTGTTCGGAAGTTTAATATATGCTTTTCATCTGGCAAATTAAAAACACATATTTGGACAAGTACTTTACTCAGACTTCACCGGTGTTTTAATATATCAACGCATAAGCGAATTTACAGTCGCTAAATTAATTACTGTAAAATACGAAAGTCTGATTTTATACACATCTACTTCAAAGTTAACAAAATTGAAAAATAAACGATATAACATGAGTTACCGATGTCAACAAGTTGGCGCGAAGAGACGTGTTTAGAGCAGCTACAATTGGTCAGAAGAGCAAAATGGACGCCAAATTAATTTTCAAATATTTCTTCCACACTTTTCAAACTTGTTTCATGTTTTCGAGTTTCTTTCATAATTACTGACAGTGAGGGTTTATAAATATTTTATTAATAATGAGGGAATTAATTGCCATCGTCGCCGTCGGTGGCGCCACCAGCATCTCCTTGGTGTTCAACACATGTTTTCATGGCTCAATTTAATTTTGTTTATCAGAAAAAATTCAATATTTTACTTTCTGTAATCGTAAACGTTTTATTATTTGAAATGATTAAATTTAAAAAAGTAACTAAAAACAGCAAAAAAATAAATAAATTTAGAAAAGTAGCAAATAGCAAAGAAATGAACGAACTAATCGCAGATCAAAAAAGTAAATCCTTTTATTAAATTTTAAGCATATTCAAGTGTTGCAAACATTATTTTTTTAATCGTTTTAGTTTTAGCGTTAATTGGATTAAAATAAAGATACAATCGTGCGCTAATCCACTGCGCGACGGCAACTGTCTTCCGAGGGTTAACTCTAAATCCCTGACCAACGTCCTTCAAAGCTGTATTTGCACGCTTATGTTTTCAGTAACAAAATCGCTCGTGTGTTTCTCATGACCCGGTTTCCGTGGAAGCTTGTATTTCAGTTTGCCAACTTTATTAAAAATAGTTCATACGATCGTTGACACAGATGAGTTGCAGTTCCATCTGGAATATTTCAGTTGTGTCTGGTCCAGAGTTTGCTCTTATCTGTTTGATCTGATTCGAGCACGATATTGAGGACCCAACGTAAATAAACGCGAAGGAAACGTTCGCTGTCCGGGCAAAATTTTACAAATTTCTGGAACTCGAATATTATTCCAGCACCCTGACATGATCGGATAAAGATGATTCATTGAAACGTTCGGTTTGCTATTTTTAAGATTTTGCTTTTTCGGATGTTATTTAAATTCGAAAAACTGATTCAATTTTTGCGTTAAGTATTATTTTTAAATACTTGTAACATGTGCTATTAACTGAAATTTATATTTATGAACGGGTTCTATAATTAACTTCATATAATAAATTCGTCAATCAGAAAAATTCGCCAGGTACGACATGCACATTTCATCCTCACGTGGCGTAACGAAAGGATTTCCATACACGGCGCCTTCATTAGCGGCACGACAATCAACGTGTTAATCCGTTCAGAGTAGGCTGTCGAATCGGCAAGAAACGCTCAAGGAAACGTCAATAAATATCACATTGTTCGACAGTATTCGCAATAAAATTACAGCAACGAGCTGAAGTGCGAAATGCAATCGCGAAATGATTAATCGGACGTGAGTGAAACGTGAATCGATAATTAATCGCACGTACATCCACTGTTGCGACGGAGTCGCGTGCTCGTTTGAGGGTCCTTTTAATGCCTGGCTTTTTCACCTGTCACTCAGCAACGGTACGTCGTGCTTTCGCTTGCCAGCTTTTTTACAAAAGCGCTTCGTTACATAAAACGTTCAGTCATAAGACATTCTGTCACGAGCCGATCGATGGGGAGTTAAAAAAAAGAGCGTCACAATCGGTGGTGTGTTGTAATGGAACATGTGACATGGAAGAAACGCTTCATTTCTGATCAATACATTCATCCAGTTTTCACACATGTTGCTTCTGGAGCGTGTCGAATGAACAACGGGTCTCGATTTGAATCAATTGCATCGTTATGTAGGTGGCTAGGTATTAATACCTTGAGTGCCGCCGTGAAAATGAACGTATGTAGGACGCATAAGGCGTCTAAATGTCACCAAATATTTGATACGTACAATTTTCACGTAAATATCACGGAAAAAGTGTCGTCAGCTTCGTAAACTCTTGATCTTGATAAAGTCAGCGTGTTTACGAGGAATAGACTTAAAAATTATGAGGTCGTGACGCGAAAAAGCTACGTGCAATTTCCGACTTTGCCGGGATGTGACTCTGGATGGCGTTAAGAACCCCGGGACAAGTTGGTGAAAACATCATCAAATAAACTTGTTGAAATCATAGTCTAGTAAATCATAAAAACAGGTATTGCTGTTTCGAGTTGGAACACTGCTTTGGACTTTTACTCGAATTAATGGTTGCCTTCGTAAGGTGTTATTTTGTTTATTTGACACGTTATTTGTCTGCTTTATTGAGGGGAAATGTTTACTATACTTTCGAAGTCATTTTGTACTTTTTAGTGAAATCTTTGTATGTTAATGTGACGTTTTTTTGAAATATTTCTGAAAATATTGCTTTTAGAGAAAAATGTTTAAAACAAAAAATGAAGATCATAAGTAGCTCTATAAAGAAGGTTATATACATTTTTGACGTAGACCTATCATTTCAGCTGTTATAACAAATATTATCAAATGCCATTTCCTAACTCACCCCCCAGCTCCCTTCCAAGATTTCTACAGTTCTTATTAAATATCTCCGAAAATATAGGTTTTAGAAAAAAAAGTTTAAAATAAGAATTGAAGCTCTTGAAAAGCTCTACAAAGAAGGTCTTATGCATTTTTGACATAAATCTATTATTTTGGCTGTTATGACAAGTATTATTAAATGTCATTTCCCACCTCACTCCTCAGCCCTCTACAAAGATTTCTGCAGTTCCTACTAAATATTTCCAAAAATATAGATTTTACAGAGAAAAGTTTCGTACAAAAAATGAAGCTCACAAAAAGCTCTACAAGGAAGGTTCTACACATTTTTTACATAAATCTCTTATTTTGGCTGTTATGACAAATATTATTAAATGTCATTTCGCAATGTGTTCGCTAGCACCCTTCAGAGATCTTTACAGTTCCTACTGAATATATACAAATATATTAATTTTAGAGAAAAAAGTTTGAAACAAAAAATAAAGCTAATAAAAAGCTCTACGAAGAAGGTTCTATACATTTTTGACGTAACCCTATTATTTTGGCTGTTATGACCTAAAATATCTGGGTGGGTTTCAAATTGACTTGTGCCAAGGATACTTTCCTTGGCCAGAAAATTTCTCTTCATGCCAGCCAAAATAATAGGTTTACATGAAAAATGTATAGAACGTTTTTTATAGACCTTGTTAAGAGCTTTATTTTCTGTTTGAAACTTTTTTCTCTAAAATGAGTATTTTGAAAGACATTCGATAAAAACATCCAAAAGGAGTGTCTGAGAGAGGTTGCAGCTAAAAATCCTTTTACGGATTTTCTCTAATTAAACGTTTGGTTATAATTTCAGTGCAAACTCATTCGAAACTGCATCCAAGTATCTTCTGTATCGTAAACACGAATCAATAACGCAATTATAGGAGAAAAGATGTATTCCAACAACGAACAAACTGTCTTCGATGTTTTGAACAGTTTCATCAG